TGACATGTCCGCAGTCTTTTGAATATAAATAAACCTAGTACAGGTGGATAAACTCTAATGGACATTCTCGGCATCGGCGATTGGCTGAAAGATTTAAAATATGTACTTAGTGTATATTAATATGGCGAAAAGCTACTTTCTGTTCTACCACTAAATGAGTGTTATTTATTTTTTATTTGCTGACGTATGAACTGTCGTACGTAATATATTAACAAGGGAAATTATGGTAATATTTTACTAAGCCAGCCAATCAATAACCGAATTCTTGCTAAATGAAGTAGTGGTATGAATAAGTATACCAAAATTATACAAATAACACTTTAACAAACGAAGAAACGATAGTGAGTGTTAGAAAGAACTTGGTGAGAATGACAGTGCTAGGGTAAAGGCCAGCCATAGGGTGAGTTATCTGTTTTATTTATATTATTCATTTGATGTCAATTATATTCGGGCACTCGAAGCATTGTTATCTATCCACACTAGAGCTTATTTATTTTATGATCCATTTAAATAGTTTACCGTCATATTAAAGCCAAAAGGAACGCTATCTTTATCCTGATATTACTCCGTAGCGTGTGATTACAAAATCAGACGCGTCTCATCGTCTCATCGAATTCCACATATTGCCTTACGAATGTACGGTGTTTTTAATAGAAGAATAATTCTTGGTGCAACAATAATTATTTTCCTTTTCTACATGTTCGATACATTCGAATATTTCAATGTTCTGATACTGATTATTCCGATTAATGGAAGAATTCGAAATAAAGTCTTATAATACACGAATTATCGAATGAACATAATGAATAACTTACCTATCGATTGGGTACCGAATTCGACGGATGGCGACTTTATGATTATTAATGAGAATCGATAACCTTCGCTGCTATTTACAGAACTTGCCTAACTGTGAATAGCCATAGCCTCAACGTAGAGTTGCAATAGAAGTCTGAATGCGCGTGCGTGCTCAGCTACACTAACAAATTACTACTTATTACCGAAAACAGTTTAGACTATTCTTTCTATCGCCACTGTCAATTACTTTCGGCCGGTTCCTTGCATTAGAATAGAAACCCATCTAATAGAAAAACAAAAATTAGAACTCGATTTATTGTAATCCAGGAATCGTCAGCAAGAACTCCCAAAAACAATATTTAGGTAAAGAGATTTACGACTTCACTCGCAGGCTAACTATCAGAAGGTTGTGTATCTCAAGGTCAGCTGATTAATTGTCCTCCCTCTTCAACTGACAATGCTATTTTGTAGTTTCAGTCAATGGAGAGACGTAACCTGGTTACTTGTTACAAAGATAATAATAACTTCGATCTCTCATTTTGGTAAATCGCAACTCGAACTCTGTAATTTTATTGGTTGACATACGAGTTTGACTTTTCAGATTAACAAAGCAAACCGTGGAATGAATGTCTTCGTTAAAGTGAATTTGACTGTGTAGAACTTTCTAATAAAGAGGAAACTTGCTAAAAGGGCGGACAGACCACTTAGTTATATCCAGGTTCACTGTGTAAATCTTACCCGAATACTTATTCGGATGTCACGAGAATAATAAATCAAGAGCGAATAACGACAACTAATTGTTGCAGTCACTGTATGCAATGTAGGAGCTACTATATCAGTAATTGTATTGTTAGTGGAAGCTTGTGGGAAGGTAATTTGACTAAATGTTAATCGCAGTGATTAACGGACTTTTCAGTAATTGTGCTATTTATCCTATTTATACCTCGCCGTATAACTTATCAAACAATAAATAAATCTTCCATAAGTACTACCTCATCAGCTTGTCCATTCATAGGGATGGTAAACTAATAAGAGTACTTACTACATAAAGAGCTCTTAATATGTAACCTTTTTGAAACTTTTAGAATACGAGCCATAACTTCATGGGACTTTCCAGACCAATAATCCGTCCACGTTCAAAATTCATGTAAATTGCTTTTACGCTTTCGTTTATCAAAGTTTATATAAACGTATATTAATATTCATCATCGTCTCATTCACTCACTTCACAGCTCGACTTCTTATGTCTGCCTCTCTTTGGACTATCTGGAAAGATTACACTTCATACATAAATTTCTTTCAACAACAAATAAATCACTATCATCTCTACTTTCTACTCTCATTAATACAGGCAGAACAATTAATTGTTTACCTTCGGATTTAGCTATTTTCGAACGAAGCTGTGATTTCTCTACTCTTAGTTAAATACAAACGACCATTAGTGACCTTCAAACAGGTTTTACTACTCACAACCAAGTGTCGATTGGTAGAAACTAGTTGAAATTGATACTGGTGCGATGTCTGAAATAAGGCAGTGGTTTGTAAACTGCGAGAGGAGGTATTGTTTCTGTCTTTCAAGATCTTCTTTCTGTTTTGAGCTTGAGACTCTGGCATAAACAAAAGATTCACATTGGGATTCCAAGGTATTTACGCTCTTCTCCCCCCTGTCTTTTAGATAAGTTGAAACTGTTGTATTCGTCATACGTATACAGAATGTGTTATCAGTGACTAGTGATTGGTTAATTTCAACTCCAATTGTATCACATCACACAAGCGAATTGTCAATAAAGATCCTATAAAATCAATAAACAAGCGAATTTCATTGCTTATTATCATGCATTGAATTTCTTCAGAAAACTAATACAGTTAGTAGTATTGAGAAGTCAGATCAATAAAAACTTTTGTATTTGACATGGACCATAAGTATTCATTGCCAGCAGATAGCTGGGTAAGCTTTAATTATATATTCAATAAGCTCCTTTTTAAGTTGTTTAATTATTCAATGTGGAAAAATTCTCTTACAACTTTTTCAATGCTCGTACAACTCAATATTACTAGGAGATTGGACAACAATCATCTTCAGGTATCAAAAACAAAGGGAAGGAGAAGCAGCATGGAGATGCAGAGACTAAGAATGTTGCTGAAATAGACCTTATCATTTTTGAAAGTGATAGTGAGAATGACAATTCTGAAGATTGTGAACAATTATTTCCCCCAAATCTGAGCAGTGCTGAATTAAATGAGCAGTTAACAACAGTGGTCATAATATAATTATATTATGACCACTTAGTCTAGGTTATGACATCTCAGTTAGGTTATGACACTAGGTTATGACCTCTCAGTTAGGATATACCCGCTCCCACCCATGAGTTTGCATTTGCATCGTCATTTGCCGAGGATGTCAACTGAGGTGTTAGCTGAAGAAGTAAACAGTTATGGAGTGACGATGTGTTTGCATTTGCGTCGTTATTCGAGTGACGACAAGATCGTGTTTGCATCGTCATTTGCCTTTGTACCCATCGAGGATGTCAGCTGAGGTGTTAGTTGGAAAAGTCAGCCGCGTTTGCGTCATTGTTCGAGTGACGATGCGTCTGTGGTTGCGTCGTCATTCAGCCGAGGCATTACCGGCCGAGAAGAAAACCGAAGCTAGTCAGCCGAGGATAATAACGATATTTTTGTCATATTATTTGATCTCTAGAGCGTGGTTGGGTCGATTTGCGAAGCAAATATTAAAACAAGTAACGATAGAATTGTGTTTACACCGCCGTTATTTGGCGGTACCGCTGAGCTAGCTAGAGCTAAAAAAATAAAAATAAATTATACTCGACTATAAGCGCTTTCCAGAGGAAAGATTAATACTTGAATCGGTTTAAATAGGAGGGTATATAACTTCCATAATTTATATATAATATTTCTGAAGTTATATACCCTATCTTATAACGACATATCCGGAAAACATATCAGCGAAGGGTTTTATTATATAATATTTCCGAGTCGTACGGCGCTGAATACCCGATCGTAATGCTCCGAATACAGACTAATACCCCAAGCATATCAGCAAAGGGTATTCTTCTTCCATAATTATTATATAATATTTCTGAAGTTAAATACCCGAAAACATATCGGCGAAGGATATTGTTATATAATATTCCGATCCGCGATATTTGTATGCTGGCTTGGTGTTCGTGGCCAATTCCCATCACTGGGCCACATCAGCAAAAAAAATACCAACGATGCATTCAGTTATGCATCATCATTTGCTGGCCCAATGTTACCTACCTATTGCTATCGGGTATGCTATATTCCTACTATCGGGTATGCCACCAAATATGTATGCTAGATGCAAGCATCCTACTCCGTAGAGTATATCACATAAATGCTATCGATAATGCTATCATATATATGCTATCGGGCTATGCTATTAAAAAAATGTTATCGCGTACGTTATATTAAAGTATGTCGATTTCGATTGCCAGAATTTTTGATACCAGAAATATGTCCTGAGAACATACGTAGTAAAAAAGTGGGTTAACTTTGACTAATTATATAGGAAGGCGGGTATATAACTCCCATAATTATTATATAATATTACTGAAGTTATACACCCCGAAAATATATCCAAAATATACCCAGAAACATGTTGTCAAATGGTATAATACTACTGAACTTATACACTCTGAGCATATACCCGACGACATACTATCAACTGGGTATATAATTCCGTTTTTTCTTATATAATATTACTGAACTTATAACTCGAAGACATATTATTAAGGTGGGTAGATATCTACCCCGACCCGAAAAAATTGTAGCGTGTTGCCATTTTTCTTATACATATTCTGCATATTACTATTGCAAAGCAATGACCCTTTGGGTCTACACCCGATCACATACCCTGAAAGCATATATCGAAACGGGTATATAACTCCCATTTTTCTTATATAATATTACTGAACTTATATACCCCGAACACATATAATCAAAGTATGAACTTATCTACCCAAAAACATATTATCAAAATGGGTATATAACTTCCATATATATTACCGAACTTATATACCCAAAGTATTCACTAATCAAGATCGCGATTCTCTTCATTTATCTCATTAAAACTCGATGCATTTTTTTGATATCGATATTTAAACTTTTCCAAACTATATTGTAATAATATAATCGAACAAAGATTGATACATACCAATAAAAAAATGACAGCACGCAACGCACAACTCGAGCGGTACGACGGCGGGGAAACCGATGACTATTCAAGCGACTCAGATAAATATAGTGATAATATATCCGAATGTGAATCGGAAAATTGCAGTGATTATGGCTCTGAATATGAGTCATATACCGAGACTAGTACTATTAAGTCTCCAATTTCCCAACCTCCTAAAGTAGAAGAGAAAATGTCTAATTCGACAAATTCCACAGATCGAGTGGGAGTTATATATACTCAAAGGCAAGAAAAGTTCGATAATAAATTCACTCAAATGGATCTACTAAATAGAATCCGCAAAATTGTCTCTTCACCTGTCAGAGATATGTCGAACAATAAAGGATCATTAGAAGATATACATTTATGGGATTATCTCTTACCTAATTACGGAGCAAAAGAAGGAATTAGTCTGCTAGATGCGTACACACGAGAAGAATTGGTTGATAGATTAGTCATCCAAGTAGAACAGAGGGGTTATTATAAATATTCAGTTGTAGATAATATTTCTGAAGTATATGGGGTTCCTGGAGTACATGAATGTATTAACGGACAACGACCTTTGAGACCTGTGATTGATATTGATGCCTCTAGTGAGAAAATGCGAGCTGATACTGTAACTGCTGATGACGTTTTCATTCGTATTTGTTGTTCATTTATAAGAGCATTATATCGAATCCTTGACTGTAGTTGGGAGGAAATTCTCAAAGGACTGGTAATTGCTTCATCCTCCGATTCTAACAAATGTAGTTACCACCTTCTATACGCTCCAGCTCTCCTTATTGACTATCAGGAGCTTAAAGAATTTACAGAATTGGTATATAAATTAACGGGAGAAAAATATGGTAAGTTTATTGATAAGGGATTACCTGGTCGAAATTTTAATCTTCGCATCATCGGTTCTGCGAAAAAAGACCGCGTAAAGCGCATACTTCAATTCTCACTAGATAATGGGTGGAATGATCTCAATGACGCCAGAGTTCAACCACCTTTTAGTTCGAGATATGAAGTAAGACCCCGTATACTTAGTACAGAAAAAATAAATAATCAGAAAAAAATAATCGTGGGTCAAGATGCGTTAAAAAAATACGCGAATCTAGTTTTGCAGAAGTATCCTGATTATCTTGGTGGTTGGGATATCGAAGAAAAGGATTCCCAACATTTCGTATATTTTAATCGAAAAACATATCTAGAATGCCCACTATGTAATCGCACACACGACAAGGATCAGCGGTGGTTTGGCCGTGCATATGGTAATGGTTCATTCATTGTGAAATGTTTCCAGCAAAATCGTGACGAATCAGGGGAAATTTTCAATGACCCATCTATTGCAGAAAAAATCCAACAAAAAAATAAAAAATAATATTTTACCACCTACCTCTCATAAAACAAAAGACTCGGGATTCCCAAAGGCCTTTCTAAAAATGCTATCTTGGGTTAAATACGATGAATCCCTTACCGCATCAGAAAAATATGAAGAAAGATATGTGAAACCTCTATCTAAAGAAAACGATATTTATATAGGATCGCCTTGGGAAACTGGGAAAACATATGCCATGGAAAATTTAAATATTCCTGAAAATACAAGCTTACTCGTAGTATCAACTCGACATACTTATTCAGATGCCGTCACCACTAGGCTCAATCTCAAATCGTATTGCGATATTGATGGACCTATAAATCTCAGAGATCATCAAAGGGTAGTGTGCCAGGTAGAAAGTTTACATCGCATTACTAATAAATGTAAATGTGATAATGGGGTTAGCGGGACTAAAAAATGTAAATGTATTCCAAATCCTTATATTCTAGCATTGGATGAGATTGTATCGGTTATTGCGCAAACACAAACTCGGTTAAGTGGTTTATCTATATCTCTTGCTAATTTCTCAGAATTAATAACACAGGCAGAGAGGGTTATTGTACTAGATAATGATCTCACTGACCTTAATATTGAATGGATTAAAGGACTTCGACCGAATAAGAAATATTCAGTTATCCACAACACATACCAGCCCCAAAAAGGTAAAACATTCCGTCTTGCTTCCGATAAAGAAACTGTATTAATAGAGCTCTGGGATTGGGCTAAGGAAATATCATCACTACCTTTTGAGGAGCGAAAAAGCGCATCACTTATCTGCCATGAGAGGAGAAATATTCAAGGTATTGTGCGTAGTCTGAAAGAGGAGTTCCCTAATTTACGTATAAAAGAATATCATGGTAAGTCCGATCCCATAGAAAAGACTCGAGATTTCAGAGATGTAGAAAAGGCATGGAAAAATATTGATCTGGTTGCATATACTAGCACATTAAAAATAGGAGTTTCTTGCACCAATCCTAAGTTTGAGCGTGCATTCTGTCTCTTTAATAGTTATATAGAAACAAATGCTGGGACTAATCAGATGTTATTCCGCATGCGTTGCATTAAAGATTATTTATGCTATATTCAACAAAGAACATCTAAAGCCCCAACTACAGAAGAGGAGTTGTTTCAATGGTTAACGGAAGCAAAGCGCGGATGTCTCCCTCAAGAGCTACAGAATAGAGGAATATTTCCAAATATAGATACTATTATTCGAAATAAAGATGTCCCAACTATCCGATTATGGGTGGCATATATGTTGGAAAAATTCCGCTCTCAACGTCTATTTGGTTGGAGAATGGTTGATTTTCTCCGAAAGGCGGGTATGATAGTTTCAGTAATAGAGCCAACTCCCAAACCTGAAGATAATACCATGACATTAACTGCAACAGTAAAGGGTTATTCTTCGGTTATTAAAGCAGAGGAAATTTCGGATATTGCAAATGCAAATATTATTAACCGCGAAACAGCTGAGCATCTAGAAAATAAACCAAAGAAAACTTTAGAAGAAATGCGAGCATTAGACCGACACCATATTGTAAATTGCTATGATATAACACCTGAGTCTTTGACTGAAGAATTCATCTCGGAGTTTGGAAATTATAATCATATGTGCTGGTTTAGAGCTCTCCGGAAATTACGAGATGCCGGCACTAACAATGAGACGGCAGTTGAGGCAATTACCCGTGAAGATTATAGAAATGATAGACTCACAACCGTTACTAGAACTGAAAAACATCGAATCTGTCTGGAATTAATAAAGACTTGTACACCGGTTAAAGATATTGACGATCGAAATAGATATAAAGAGTTAATGACGTTAAAATGTGCTTAAACTCACCAGAATCGATACAATACCTCCAAAATTTAGTACCAAAAATGGCTCGGGTTTTTGATAATACAGACCCATCTCGTAGTGCTAAAAAATCTGGCTTAAAATCGGATAAAGCAAAACTTGGTTTATTAAATTCAGCACTTTCTGCATTCTATGGGATAAAGTTTAAAACTACTAATAATAAAAATACGCATTACCATTTAGTTGGAGCATTTGACAATGAGGGTGCTCCCAAATTACCACCATATCAAACGGGCGAAGATTGGGAGAATGGAGAAGATTGGCGGTATTCTTATAGTAAACTCTCACCTGATGAATTAGAACCGCCTCCTAATTCTACGTGTATCTCACAGAATACCCAGGTCTTATTCGATATCGTTTAAAACAAACATTTAGAGTCTGTGGTATATTTTACAAAGGGGTTTTGTGACGCTTAAAAATGATAGTTGTAAAAAAATATCCCACTACGAAGACCATTTTTGTGATGCTTAAAACTGATATCTATAGTCATATAGTGACTATCTTTGGCAAAAGTGAATATAATTACGTATCAGCTTCTATTCTCTGTGCCTTTTGTCTCTCATACCAATTTCGAAAATAAACCCTCTTCGCATGTTTAGGGCAATACCCCGTTCCAGAAATTGTTAGTTTCCCACAGATTCCACAAGGAAATTTCGCTATATTCCTATCATGTAAAGCCCAGTGCAACGAACACCCTGTGACTCGTCAGCAACTTTTCCCACAAATAGAACCATCCCTCTTTATATGCGGACAGGTGACGCGATCCATATATTATTATTTTATGTTTATATTTTTCTTTCTTAATTTCAATTATGCTTAAAATCCGTAATAATTTAGACAAAGCTTGGGTGACATCCGGAAAATACATAGTATATGTACGCCCAAATTAATTATCCGAACTTTAGTTGTTTTTCTTCTGATTAAAGATATTCAAACGATAAATGGTCGCGACATTTGGCATTTTTGCTGTAGAAGAAACACCGATAATTATTTTCGAATTGAAAGAATATTTTGCATAGTATATAACCTAGCAAAGAGGACATAACCTAAGAAAGTGAATATAATCGAAATGTCAGCTATTGCAACAACGATCGTTGGAAAATACAATCTTAACCCAGGAATGAGTGTATCTGAGTCAGTAAGTATACTTCTGAATTGCTCAAAGAGCTTACAGATGATAGAAAGCGAAATCAAGCACGAAGACGTCTTCGAGATGGTTTCAAATTCAGTGAGGAACAGGTAAGCATATTAATTCCTACTCAGAGAAAAAGCCAGCGAAAAGATATAAATATCGTAACTCTGCCGTACGGCCTAGGCAAGGCCTTGGTAAAATCGGAGGAAACCATCAAAGAGATAGCACAACGGATTTTACAAGATAAACTTAGTGAAAAGGATGTAAAAGCCGAAGCAATAAAGTTAGCTAAGTCGGCTTTGAATGAAGTTGCTGGGTCCTCTAGGCTTTCCCGGCTTCGGAAAGAATTACGAAATCTTAATGCTCCATATAATATAGTTGAAGCGACAAAAATCTTTGAGATTACAGATAAGTCTAACAAAATTCAGACAAGTCGACGAAAAATTGCTGAGGATTTTGAGAAAATCGACTATCCAGATCATTTTACATTAGAATCGGTTAAATAAATATAACATTAAGACACTGCCTGACTCACAAGCCCTTGCTGATGCTCTGTATGCGTCCCGCTGAAGTTACTACTTTACGTATTACAAATGCCGGTGTAACGGGTTATGCGAAGAACAGGGGTCAGCCAGATATTCATAGAAAATTTAAATCTATGGAAAAGAATCAAGAACGAGCCAAAGAATTGCTAACCTGGATACAGAACGCTATATCTTCTGGCCAAATGGGTAACCCAGGTAAGCCAGGGGCCAAATGGTTTAATAGATTCTTAAAAGGTTATAATTTAATTCCTCGCCATTTACGTAAAATAGGGGCTGTATATGCTGTGGTGGTACATGGGGCAAAGAATTTAGCTCATGCTATGACAATCGCTGGAGAAGCTTTACACCACAATCCTGACAATCACACCTCACCAGTACAAAATTATGTTGTGGTGAATTATCGGAGAAAAAATCAATCCCCAGAGCAAGCAAGACTATTTCGAATCTATGATAAAGACTAACTACGCTTCTTTGCTTATCGTACGACCCACATTCACAGTTAAATCTTTATCATCGTCGCCGGAGGTAGTCACTTCGTAGTTAGACGATTCAGAGTCGGACCCAGATGAGGAACGAGGATGAGGACTCAGATACGGTATAAGTTAAAATTTTCTTTTTTTCTCTTAGCCTTGCTTAGAAGATTAAGATCAGGTGCTACACGCTTATCCCCCGAAGCAATTAGTGATATAATTACTGCTAAGGGTTCAGCAAATGCATTACGGAATCTAGCTAAAAAATATAATGTATCATATGCACGAATTCGTGAAATATGGGAATTTGCTATTGCGAGATAAATAATTAATATTTATTGTATTAGAAATATGCAATAACTTACAATGCAACATGGTACGAAATTTTAGGCATATATACTACAGATTTTCCAGATATTCTCAATTACACTTAACCTCGCAACTAGTTCCATTGAGCAACGTAAGAGTTTTATTTGGGAAGTCCAGTTTCATTGCATTTTCCTGGAACCATGGCTGACCCAATATCAGTACAGATTCAAGTTCGGGTTTATTGGTAACGAAAACATCACTAACTTCTACTTGCTCCCATTTCTGATCTTGAGACAGGACCAAAATTTCCATTGCACGAATTATTCCCAATATATTGAGCTCGCTAATGGAACTGTATATTTCCGTATCAGAGGTATTATCAATTTTCAAGCCTACTATTTTTGCTATACTCTCGCCTATGATATTACAATTAGCACCGGAATCTAATATAGCTGTTACTGGTACTTTATTGATTTCGCAGAATAAAGTTATCATTGTGATGTTTTATTATAACAATATATTTAATTCTGCATTTTTAAATTCGTATTAATAAAATAATTTAACATTTACAATGACCGAAACTGATAAAACCGTATTCCATATCACTAAACAGGAATCGGGTAAAAAATTTCAGATTTCTCTCGGTGAGATATTATCACCTCGATGGTTTTTTGTGATTGTTAGTGTGGACAATCTTATCATTACGCACGCAAATAATCTCTGAGGAGCAGATGTATTTCAGAGTGGTGCCACAGGCTATTAATAACATATTGATCGTCAATAATTTATTACTTCGAGACGTAGAAGACCAATGCCACGGATAGTTGATATAACGTAGATTCATAAATATAAAATCGCTGTTATTATTTGTTATAGCTGTATGAACTTGTTATACTGGTAATTTATTACTTCGATTTAGAACGAAATCTGAAGAACCAATGCTATGGTTTGTTAATAACAAGCTTTGATGTATAAAACGCTGCCGTACGGCGGAGATTTGGGTAAGAAAAAACATTATCAAAGCGTTGGCTCAATAAATCAAACATCCTGACCAACGATTAACAATCTATCAGACTGTATTTTTTTACTTCACGCATCACACTAAAAGATCGCAACCCGATTATTATTTAGCGGCACCGCAAAAAATAAGGTAACTATCACTTCCGTGCGTTCTCAAAGTAAACACTCGATACATCGCTATGCGCTGCGCAACGTCTGGGTATAACTTAGCGAATACTCATACAACTATATTAAAATTGCAGATGTCTCAATTCAACTTCGCCGAAGCTTTTCTCCTTATTTTGATCGCTGGATCAATTTTCGCTGAAAATTTAGCATCGAGTTTATTTTTTGGACTCGTATGGTATAATGTTACACAAAATAGTAAGCAAGAGCAAAATAATAACGCGATCCGCTCGCTAAGCGAAGATTTTGCTAATAAAATCAATGAACTCAATGAAAAAATTATCTTGATTCATGACGAAGTTCAAACAATTCGTGAAGGTGACAGATTCAGTAATACGTCGAGTTTTTCTCATGGTGAGTGTCTATCCTTTCGCGTTATTTCAATCGCCGAAGGAGCCACATACCACTGATGTACGGTACTAAAAGACATTTATATATACAGCATCGTCGCATAGATCGTTTTCGAGCTCAGTCTCTCAATCCCTGCTACGGGATTTCAAGAGAGTGTTTGAAAAGTATATGGTACGAATGAGTATTGTTGGATCTGATATGTTTAAGACGGTTGCAGATGATGTCAATAAGGAAAAGGGGATGCAAGTTATCGGAGCTAAAGCGATAGAAAGTTTTTATAATGGAGAAAGAAAATCTGATAAAAGAACGATAGGCGCGATCAAGTGTTGGATGGAATTGAGGAACAAAGAAATAAATGAGTATAATGTTGGATAGCTTATGTATGTGAGGCCAAAGAATAGGGAATAGTCATAGCCTCTCGAGGCAGGCCTTGGATCCGACTATTCTCTCCCATGCAACCTCGCAATAGGTGGCTGTCGTATACGTAGATTAATATTCGAACTTGTATATCGATTCACTACGTTCTGTAAAAAATGATATTCTGACCCCTCTTCATTCATATTAATATACGAGCTTTTTGAAAATATCTGTATTTCACGTGATCTGAACTCTTGGGTCAGGTTATTATTATGCAATTTGACCTTCTGCGCATATTGGGCCCGAAATAGATTTACATTCCTGAGTATGTATCAGCAATAGCGTAACACGGATTCTACATAATACATCAGGGAACAACATTGTGGCAACGTGATATGTGTATAAAAGAGATTTTCCCTTTGTCTCCATTATCCTTTATCTCTAACAAAAGCATGGCGGGTTCCCGATCTATTTTGCTAAGTGTGCTGGACCTGGCACCTGTAGTTGATTCGGCGCTTCAATACGAAGGAGTATCACATGTTTGTGTAAGTAAGACGTATAAACAGGGGCTGAGTGGGCGGCGCAGAGCTAGATCACGACTCTTCTTTTATTACATCCACTAAGTCATAAAAACATTTAGACATGGACCCAACGGCAAGAGTAATGAGGAAAGAGGAGTTCTTATGGCAATACAGTCGTAAACATCCCAACGCCACCTTAGCAAAAGCAGAAGAAGAATATGAGGAATATCTTAAAAAACACGGTAAGCAAGCAAAACCACGCACGTTTATTGAGAGGATAGAGGAGCAATGGGGAGAAGAGTTTGAATACTGTTACTGGTTTTGTGCTATATTGCAAGAAGAGAGAGAGGCAGTTGGGCGTTATTAGTTGGGACAGAGCAGAATCGTAGCAGAGCTAGGTTATACATAATAATAAACTCATTCAAAGAGAACTCGAGGGGACAAGAGACATTATGGGTTAATAGAGGAGCAACGGGGGTTTGTGGAGTAGCCATGGGGTCAACAGAGGGAGAGTAGTTCAAATGCATTACAAGCATTGAGATCAAACTACCATTGCAACATTGACTAATTGGTGTTTTTCCTCCTCCTATGCATTCTTTAGCAAAGGATACTCAAAACGACAAAACCACTGCGGCTGTGCTGCACCAGCAAAAACAGGCTTTTGTGGAAGCTTTCAAAATACCATACCAGGATCCATTGAAAATAGTCGAACGATTTCGGGACTACATCAATAAGAAACACGCGTATTGGTTTGCTAATAAGAAAAATCACTTACCTTATGGAACGCTCTTTCAGAGTTCTGGCTATGGAAAAACTCGCCTTATTGAGCAGATTGCAATGAAAATTCCCACTTTATATGTGTGTTTACGCCCCAGGCGAAGTACAGGATATCCGCCTGCTACGCCTTATGCACCAGAGATCTTTGATAGTCTAGGACAGATCTCAGGTGGAGAGGAATGGCGGTTTATGTTCATTCTTTGGCACGCTATCAAAAAACTGCATGGATATTCCCTCAACGAATCAGCTGAGAACCTCTGGAAATGGCAACTGGATTACGAATGGTGCAATAAATTCTGGAAAGAGGTATCGGAAGCCAGTAAAGACTGGAAGAAAGTTGACCGGAAGGATGCGAACCTCGATGTGGATAAATTCCTGTTCACAGATAATTCTGACAATCAAATCAAAATTCTCTTATGTATTGATGAAGCACGATCCCTCATTGATTCTGTGCAAGATGATGGTTGTACTCAATTTCGATTGCTTAGAAGAGCTATGAGACATATCGGGTGGAATGGATTCTTCGTCCTCTTTTTGGACACTTTTAGCAAAATTTCTAACTTTACACCACCCTCATCAGCAGACCCATCTGCAAGAAAGGACGACCTAGGATTTGAATTATTTCATCCTTTTATTAGACTTACGACGATGGATATATTTGAAGGCAAAACAGAAGATCCAGCAGGAACGTCTGAAGAAGGTCAAATTGTCCAATTGGCAAGGCTGGGGAGACCGTTAATTTACAGCTATTTTGATGTCAAACGGACAAGTTCTTCAACTGAAGTAGCCCTTAGAGGACTGGTATCACTATTGCAGATTAAACTCTTTGGTGGAGTAAATGCTTTCAAAGACAGCAAAAAAAAGATGTCCAGTATTGCCATTTTGTCAGTACTTGTTTGTTTGGATATTTCACCGCAGTCAAAAATTGCTTCTGATCTTGTGGCATTGCATATGGCAACGTGTGTTGCAGTATCACGTGACAGGGAGCGCTTGTTAGTTCGTTATCCCTCGGAACCTTTATTAGCAGAAGCAGCATTATCTGCTATTACTAATAATGATACGTTGGTTTGTGTTCTGCAGAAGTTTAATGAGATGCTGAAAAAAGGGTTCGTGGATGCAGGCCCTCGTGGAGAAGTGGTGGCACGAATTATCCTAATTCTTGCAATGAGGTCTATACAGGAAAAGAAAGAATGGAAATCAACCGTCATCACAGTCAAACGGCTAATGGAATTATTGGATCCTGCTGCAGTTGATGACCTACAACATTTTGTAGATGCAACTGTGGCTTTTACACACTTCATTCCCATAACATATGCCCCTAAAACATGTTCTTTGAAAGAATATTATCAACGACGATGTGCTGTAATTCTTAAGCGCAACAACCCCGGTGCAGACATTATGATCCCTGTAAAACTATCTGAAGACCGATACTCCTATATCCTCATTCAAGTGAAGAACTATGCATCAAGTGACCGGAATGCAGACAAGAGCTATCCAGAGTCTGGTTCATCCAAATTAACTTCACGGTTCGTTTTTCGAAAATCAGATCTCAAAGATCATGGAGAGCAATACATCACTTTATATTGGCAACTCGGATTCCAGGGACAACTCAGAGAGGTTCCACCAATCCGCAAGTCCAAACGCCAAAAACTTGAAGAAGAACAACAACACCCTTTTGCACACTTTGGATTGAATTTCTTCAAATTTCTTGATCCCACTGTCAAAGAAGAGTTAGCAGACCTTTTGGGCGCCTTTATTTCACCATTTGATGAAGCGTGGAGGTTCGAAAATGAGGAGACAGGCGATTATTGGTCTGAGGAACAAATTGTGGCCCAAGATCCCCTTGTTTACGAGTCTAGTATTTCATCACTAACGTGATGGCAAGTGGAGTGTTCGCTTTTGACTTTCTTCAGCAGGTATTGGGTTTAGCAAATGACTAGTTATGCTCATGAACAGAAAATTAAATTTTTAACATCTTCAAGAGTCTTAATCAGTGATTGAATTTCTTGACTTTAGTATTTTAGGAAATATAACGATAAATCTACTCGAACATTGTGGCAAATGAAGTGCCATATTATTTGCGCCTTATCGTTATTATATTAGTTCGATTCCAAGAAAGTAGGAACAGTGTAATAAGTTGTTAATAATAAAAATTATATATAGGAGTACCCGTATATGAAAGATTATAATTATAACGGTTCAACCGAATACGAAAAAGCAATGCGTTTCTTGGAAATAGGTTGCAATTGTGGTTGCTCAAAAATAATTCCGAGAAGTTTGTCGAGTTATGTGAGGCTCTTCTAGATCTGAACAAGATATATTTTTAATGGCCCAGCTGAAAGCGATGAATGGTGGAGAAATAACCCCCAGCTGACGTCTTAAAAAGAAAACGCGTACTAATAAGAAAACTTTTTATTATTGAGGTCACAATACATGCTGAATGTTAAATTTGGTTTCGCTAAGACACCCCCAAAAAATATGAAACCCTGGATGAGCCAATTCGATTAAAATTGAATCCAATATTTATAATGTGTATGATTAGTACATCTGAAACACTACTACGCTTTATTCCATTAAATTGCATATCTTTGTAGCACATAACTGGTCATATAAATAATAAAATTGTTACTATTCAGGATTTGCGCGATTCTAAATGCACTGATGATGAATGGACCGAATATTGCAGGATGCCACAAGTACATATTGGAGAAACTCCCGGTGAGTGGAAAGAACGGATCTGGGAAAGCTTAACATATTTCAGAAATAATAATTTTATGAATATTAATAACAAAAAGTTTCTTGAAGCCAGAACGTTGATACGATTTCCAGACAGTAATTCATACTCTCCAACAATAGGTATAGTCATCTGTTTCTCTTGTGACAAGCTAGTATATACTGGAAAATACACGTATGTCAAAGCATATATGGAGAAACATTGGAAAACTTCATGTATTGGTAATAAATATTGCGAACTAAGATTTTTTGAAAATTACACAAAAACCCAAATTTGATCGTACATTCGACGATACTTATGGATTGCGTTATTACGAATTATGGATGTCAAATGCTATTAGCAAACTTAAACGGGCAAGGGAAGTCGGGAAAAAGATGCGAGCATGCGCCCTTATCCAACATAAATGGATAGAATTCATGTATCGTCCCAATGGTTTAATGGTCAAGCAATTAGCTGAACATTACAAACTTTTATGGACTATTCGTGAAGACATACGTCACCAACGATCTCAAATGCTCTTGCTTGGCCGTATGGCTGAGTAACGTCACATTTACAAAATTTTACACACGGAGCTCGACTATGTCAAGAGCGGGAAGAATACTCGCATCTGTAATTTTAAATTTATTTATCTAATCTCAAAGGCGTGTCCCAACCCAAACGAATATAGAGAGGATCCTCTTTCGCTCTAGTCAAGTCAATTACAATGAACTGCCGACCTTGCAAATTCTTATCGATTATATCAACAGCGTTACGCCATTTTTTTGTATACCGCCTAACTATATCAACCAATTCATCATACGTACCAGCTCCGTTAAAGAGCACAATATAATCTAAATTTTTTCTTATTAATTTCGGACAATCGAAAAAGCTTTGCGTTACGTAGATTGAACTGATGTTTGAGTGACGTCCTTCAGTAAAGTAAGGGATAATTTTTTCTTGCACCTTTTTAGGCTCACTACATAAATCTTCGAATATAACCAACGTCCCTCTTTCAGGAGTAAATTCGTCAATCTTTGGTATTTTGTCGGGCTTCATCGATCGGAACGTAACATTTTCGCGATATGGCTTTGGACTATTTGCAATGATTTGGTAACAATCCCTTAAATGGCGATATTTGGGTTCCTTAAGATGATGTCCAATTAACAGTAGATCGTCATTTTTTATATAGCGTGTTCCACCTTTTTTCCCGTTAAACATTCGATACATCTTATCCCCAAGTAAAAGATTGACAATCATATTTGTTTTTCCTGATTTAGTTCGTCCGCTGACCAAAACATTAAATGGCTATTGGGGCGTCGAATTTAATGAGTTAAATCTTTCTGCATTTTTGCACTCGTCAATGTGATAAACAAACATTTCGCATCGATCAAGTTTTGCCGTATGGCCTGCATGAGATGGATGAAGCTTATTACGTAACATTTTTTTGTGGTACCACTGATGTACGGCCAAATAATAAACGTTATTATCTTTGACAGAAAGTTATTCGGTATTTATATTTGGTAAATAACCCTTTTCTAATAATGCATTGTGGATTTAGGGTAGAAGATCGCAGGTATACGGAATTTCAATAAGATTTATGCCTTTTTGTTTGCACAATTTTCGCTTTTTTTGATCACGATTTTTTTGAGACTCTAGGTCGATCTCACCGTTTTTCCGGTGATACAAATCACTGCGGTAATAATGGTGTGAGCCGTTAAATTCGAACGCTAATTGTAGCTCTTCGTTATAACCATCTAAACGTAACCCACCTAAGAACTTTGGTGCACATGGCGGGAATTTTTTGCCCATCAAATCTTCGAAAATATATCTACAGCGTCTCTCATCGGTATGGTGGAAACAAATTGGACACCACTCGAATTTCCGCTTCTGGATCTTATAAGGTGCTTCCCATTGATGGAGTCCTTTTTCGCAAGACCAGAGATATACATCGAAACCATTTATTTGATTAGTTTTACCAAGACATTTCCCACCACGCTTCTCAGCATACGCAATGGCTTTAGCCATTTTATTAATAATACGAACGAAATTAACAGACCTGGAACGAGTATTTTCTTCCAATATACTCTGGGAAGCATATCAATATTCACGTGCATGAGTTCCTCAAGTACAAACCCACGTGTAGGTGCGAATTCGCCATCTAAATAATATAAAATTGGTTCGTTTTTCGTTACCACAATTTTGCGGATTTTATGTAAAGTAGGGTTTTAAATAATGACGTCATATTAATGATATTATATACGATACTTATGTCTCCAATTAAATCTTAAACTTTATTTATAATAAAAATCTCTTTATTTCTTTCTCCATTAAACTAAACCAATTTGTTCACTCTTATGAATTGGGGACGAAAAAATCTGTTAACTTTTTTTGTTGACTCGCCTCGTATATATTCGACTGAATGCGTCGCAACAGACTTTGCAATCTTGGCATGTCTTGCTCTTCTACAAATTTGGCGGGGTCTTGTTGTTCTACATACTGCAGAAGTAATCCGCATTGTTCCAATGCCGTAGAATGAGAAATTTTTTCGATTTCAATGTCGCTGCCTTCATTACAACTATCAGAATTAGACGTGTGGAGTATGTTTATACTTTAGTACTTTAAATTTTAAAATACTAATTTATATTGATGTTGATATCAGCGAGGTACATTTAATTAGGAATAAAATCTGATATGTGTTGATAGGGATATCAACGGGGTATGATATCCAAATTGATATATGCGGGGGAATTTATATATGGGGAAATCCGTTCTGTAACCACTGTTGCTAATAGAGAGAGGTGGATATTAACGGGGTGGATATTAGAGAGGGTTCACTGTACTCTGTTTAGAAAGCTGTTGAGAGCTGATGCCCCCACTTTGTACGACTAAATTTGATCGGGGCATCAAAGCTATTGAGACCATCAGCATAGGCTATTTATCAAGTTATTAGGCGCATTATATGGAATCTCCCTTCGGTTCGGATGCAGGCGTGCAGCGGTCGTTCACTTTCGTTGCCCAAGGTTATTTATTTGTATAGATAAGGATTTGTTACCTATTAACAACACAATATCTTACATAATTTCGTGTATAAATTTTCGTAGAATTTGATTTTGTCGTGACGCGTAATACGAATTATTGCGTTCGCGTGTTTCCTGAAGCCTTTCGTTCGATTAAAGATTAATTCGTTTAACTTCATCGCTTCGCTTGTTAAGAATGTCTTATGAAAATCAAATTATTTACAACAATAACAATACTATTTCGGCTAGCCGAATGGTATATTTAAACCATCCTCTCTTGAGAAATGCACGATTGAAGTCCCAAAGCCGTTTATACGTTATCCATTAATTCATGAGGGATTTATTAAATTACGTCACCACAGATTATATTGAATGGGAAACTTCAGGCATATAAAAATCCACAGATGGACAAATCGAGTGGACAATATTCGTATAGATAGAAAAAGATAACATATGTTGGTACTGGGTAATGTATTGTGCAGACGATGGAAGTAGATGCCAACCAAATTGTGTGAATTACAACTTACCAAACCGCACACGTATTAATTGTGTGAATACATTGACGCGTCTTTATTGTTGATTAATTTAGGAATGTGGCTCACCTTTTAAACATGACGATAATCGCTAGGAAAATCTGTAATTACAAACATAACAATGACCATGGCTGCGGCATCCCATCTTATATATAAAACGAAATTTATCTGATTTGCGTTCCAAATACAAGTACTGTATTAGGAAAAAACAATTAACCAAAATTCTCTATCATTAAATGATTTCTATCCTTTTGCGCTACCTAAACTCTCTATAAACAATTACATGCACTCTTGCTCCCATGAACCACATTCTATTCCCGTACTCCTTATTCCTACACTCTCCATTCCGCATTCGCTTCCAGAACGGCTGACAAAACTTGCCAAACTAGCCGAACTGGAAACGGGAGTGAGCAGTCTTTTGGTAGAAGTCTCGCTTCTGTCAACTAAACTTCGTTTTTTACTCCTTACTACAGTGTTGGCCGGAGCACGCGCCCCTCCTCTATATCCTCCATATCCTCCTCCATATCTAACGCCCTCAGTCCTCCTTATCATTTCATCTCTATCGTTCCTTGAAAGACCGCCTAATTCTGACAAAGTCAAGTGATTACCAAAAGGCAAATAACACCCATCGTAAGTGTATTGGTTTTCTCCTGTTCCGCTCACTATCGACGCTAGGCCACTCGCCGTATAGTGAGGATACAAAGGATAAGTGGATGCAGCAGAAGAAGATGAATGCGTGGCGAATGAGCCCGTATTAGGAAAGTCAATGTCTGACTCGGGGGTGATTATGCTAGAGGTGAGGCGGCGAACTGTGGACCATACGGTTGAGAGGATAGATGATGCGTCGTCTTGGTTTTTTTGAAAGCTGTTGTGAAGCAGTAGGCAAAAGATAAGAATTGTAAGTATAAAAGCGTATCGAATTAACTGGAGACTTTAAGTTGACAGATCACATTGAGAGATAACTCATCCAAGACCTTCATCTTTCATAATCACATCTATACAAAATATATTCGCATAAAAACCTCATTTCCTAAACTTACTTGTTCTCACTTCCAACCCCAGCATCGACAGCATTCTCGTTTTGTATATTGGAATCCCTCGATAACGTTCTCAAATCACTAAATCTGTTAAATATTGGGTTTCGTCTTTCCGGAGTCCCACGACTGCCAGATGAATTCGACTGATCATTAGGTCGCTCAGAAGAGAATATCCGACTATTTACACTTTCTGGTGTTGTATCCCGTATGCTGGATGATGTCTCGTGATGACGTGTCGCTGGATGAGATAATGCGGATGAGGAGTTGATAGAATCAGGTAGGGAGGTTTGTGTGTAAGCCGAATTTGTCTATTTTCATATAGTTAGTAAAGATAAAGTTAGTATTAATTGTGTTGTTCGAATTTACATATTGCCCAGTATATACTAAATACTCTATCCAGTCTCGGTTGAATCTCATCACCCATCCTCCACCAAACTTCACCTTCTCTAAATCATCGCGATCATTTTCTCCTTGTGAATTGTCATTCGATTTGACCGCATCTTCCAACTTGAATACATTCTTAAACAAGTGTTTCCATGAATCTCGCTTCCTTGGCTGAATAATGTTGGTAGAATTGTTGCCGTCGCGATTATCCGCGTTGGCAGATGCGGTATGCGGTGTGGAAGTTGCAGATGAATAAAGCGTCCCGTGCTCCAGATTTGATATGTCTGATTCCGTTTCCCTGACTATTGAAGAGTTTCTTCCATTATCAAACTCTACATTACTGTCCATTCCATCGCCATACTCTCTCCCCTCTTCAATAGTATCGCAAAAATTCCCGGCTCCATCATGTAAAGGCAGTTGCCCGTGAAAACTCCAAACCGTATCTTCTGCACCTGAAGACTCTGTGTAGAACTCTGACTCGTCGTGTACAGCAGCGTCAATCTCCGACTCGAAGCCACTAAGTCCACCGTTGCTATCAGAGAATGTGTCGAATGTAGGATTGCTCTCGTCGATCGGGCTCGCACTATCACTCAACACGTGCCATTCGTCGTCACTGCTTGTTGGGTTGTATAATGGGATTGTGGTAGCGCGAGTAGCTGGAGTTGAAGCTCTGTAAGCCGAGTTTCTCGATTTATTGTCATTAAACACTACCCATTCTTCTGAACTGGACTCTTCAGAGTCGCTCGAGGGAGGAGGTCGTGCGGGTATTATGTGGGTTTTCTGTTTGTAGGTCGCCATTGTGAAGTGTGCGGGGCTGAAGGTTCGTTGGGGGTATATGTAGTCATTTTAACAAGTTTGGTATAATTCTGGTCACATGTGATCTTCAATTGGGGCATTTTGAGGAGATTGCAAGATAATAATAAGTAACAAGAGGAGAGGATCCGGTAAATATCTGATATGGCAATAGATCAATGTATAATTGCAATAAATTGGGAGATTCCTGATAATAGCATATATTAATATATGAACATTCTCTATTCAATAAGTTAAATGCTTCACTCGTTAACTGTGACGCAATGCATGACATCTTGTTTTATTCGAAAGTAGTTATTATTATTATTACAGTGTTATGCACTCCCCTGTAGGAAATGCGAGTATTGAACGTGCTTACCAAATTAGCCCAAACCCGAATTATATCATCACTCGAATATAAGACAGCCACAAGTGTTCGATTAGGAAATTCTTCTCTAATTGTCAGCCCAACATGAACGGACTAAGCCATAGTAATAACTATAGTCATAGTGACAATACCAATAACAAGAAGCACCTTAATATCAATTTCGTCATATTAATACAAATAATGCCATAATCAAAACAAACACTATGCAGAATGCTTGCATTTGTCTAATATAAATAAGAAATCGTTTGTTAATTAAAACTGATCTTTTTTGTGAGAAATCGATCCTACTACAGTTTTCCGAAATTGGATAAAGAATAATAATCACGATTTTGAGATTTTGGTCGGGCCGTTTGATCCGTCGTTGTTATTACCCAATAGGACAGTGGAATGTTAATAATAATAACGCACTAAATGTAATCGGGATAAATTCAACCTACTATAGCAAATTGTGAAACGGAAACAAAATGCCCAATGCGACAAGAAAAAAAATAATATTAAACTGGAACACTATAGTATTTCGACTACCTGACCCCCAGAGCATAGTATATTTTCCGTAATAAATAAAACCTACCATTATCTCTTTAAATATTGCAAATTCGTGTTCTGTCCACTCGCCAACCGCGTCTGGGAGCCGTTCATTATAATTCGTTTAGAGCCACGTAATTGTGTGTTAAAAAAGAAGACATTTATATTAACCACGTGAGTTAAATAAACTTTAATCTGGTAATACGGTGTTTTAGTCTTGGTCACGTGAATAAATATGGAGACAGAACGCATTTCCTAATAAGTTTCATTGAATAGAGAAACGCTCTTTACTTTCTATAACGGCGGCAACTCAACTATCAACGCGCGCGACTTGGTAATAGAGGCAATGGTTTAATAAGCCATACTTATGTGAACGAGGTAAATTCAGTCTACCAATGAGGAGTACAAGTATCGGTAGCAGTATCAGATAGCTAAATAGAGTAATAATTCATAGACGAAGAGCTGTTAAGCAAAGCTTTATCAGAAATAACAATACACGTCAAATTACAAATATAATTGTGATTTGTCAGTATGTAAATAAACTCTAAAATGCTATACGGTTTGAGTTATTATCTAATGAAATATTGACCATATTATCAGAAAAACGTATGTATATATTTTTAGAATGTTAAAGTAAATCGGACATAATTTATTAAATCAACGTTTCTTCTCCAATTTAATCCCAAGTTCTGGTCTCAGCAGATTGCACAATCTTTGATTATTGGCTGCTCAAGAATAAACCAGTTGTTGAACGTTCGTCACGTACCCATTGGCTTTGGACAATTGGTGAGGAAAGTGACGCGTTTGTTGAATGATGCATTGGTTGTGCTCCTAGCCAGACTTGGGTGAACAGAAGCAATGCTGAGTCACAAAGTCCGTTTTATTCACTCTAATGTACAGTATACCAAAGGCAACTCTAGTCAACAACGTTCTCCCAACATAAGAATATGTCTGTTACACACTACTCTATGTTCCAAAGCTCAAATTCACCAACAGTATGAGCTTTATACCTTGAGACTTTTCATGTCTGGCGGCACAGTGGCCGTACATACAAGTCAACTTGTTTTGATTGTCCGGATCAAACTCACAACTACAGTTGACTTTAGGCATTTTTCGCGACTTGTTCCGTCACATCATTCATTAATCAATGACGTTTACATACCGCATTACAATTTGCGCAGATATTTAGAATAATGGTTAATGTCCTGAGTGAAATTATTTTTAGAGTACTTATTGGCTATTTCCTCGGTCTATTGCAATGGCATAAATGATAACTGCCGACTCTATCATATAGGAATATTAATAAAGACTATAAAGTCCAGCTAATAACGAAACCATCACTTCAACTTTGTTACCAAAGACAATTTGATGACTTGTGGCGTACGAATTATATTGTTACTCATTACTTTTTTATTTCAAAGATACGAGACGCGGCATCCAAATAGTATTCTCTAAGTCCATTAGAAATTTTGACCGCTATGTTTAATATATTAGTAAAGATTATATTAGATTAAATAAAGAAGAAGTTGAACGACAGCTTTGAAGAAGAAATCACATATAGCATATAAGCATTTTGGCTTTGAAAGCTATTAGTAAAATTTTTTGATCTCTTTACGGCTAGTATGGCTGATACCACATGCTGCATATCTCAGAGTCGGTCTGCAACAAGACATTAATCGCACTACGACTAGCATAACGTCCTCCATGCATCTCTTGCGTTACTGCCGTTGGCGTGGTTTTTGTTGACCACTTCAACAAGTCTTTGCATCTCCAAATTAGCTAGCTCCATGGAAAGATTGTTGTAGGCTTTACTTATTATTGTTGGCTTCATTCTTTAGAGTGTCCAAATGTTGTATTGTACTTGTGTTATCGGGCATATCCCCGTGAATTTTACGCTATAGAATAAAACTTGGTTAATAAATGGCTACGTAATACGTATAATCGATGTATAAAAGAACTCACCATTCGGTTCGTCTTACCGATGCCAAGCCTAATCAATTCGTGTAAACATATCGTTAATAATGAAAAGTAACAGATGTGCAATAAAGGTAGATTACACTTACTTTGGAAGTCCCCGATTGAGTCCCTCTAACAAGATACACGCCTTGCATAGTTCGTTCGATGACATGTATCCACAGCGTTTACACGTGCCTTGAGTTGGGAGTTTGACATCTTGTTTGATTTGAAAAGCTTCACCAGAATGTATGATATCTAGACAAAGATGTGTTGTTGGTTTACTGCTGTTCATGATTGCACCAATACTAATACGAGTGAGTGCTATACGACAGATATAATTTACCTATAATAGTACTCGGCCTTATCGATTCTAAATCCTTCAGAAACGTTCTTGCATATCCTCTATAGGCATTTGGAGAGTATACACATTCCGTAGAGAAGTAGTCCAACTTTTTGAAATATGCATACCTATACGAAAAGTATCGTTAAATCAGACAACTTGTATGTCATTCACGAACCATATTGATCGACACGTTTTTGGCATACATGACAATTTCCTTCTCGTACGTATACTTGAACGGTTTCGATCTTTTTATACGTTCATCGCCGGTTGTCACTATCTCGGTACACCTCTGGAGACGCGCAATATCTCCACGGAGAACTATTAAGAGTAGCAAAAAGAAACTTGTTTGGTTCGAATAGTTACCAAAAAACTCGATTTACCCGTATCCATGCGCATAACGATACGTACTGTTCATGAGCACCGTCTCGGCGATATCATCTGCATTATGTCCAGTAATTATATGATCTACGTTAAGCAACATTGCCCCACGGTCAAGTGCTTGACGGCGGAAGACTCCGCAGAATGTGCCTGATTCGATATAAAAAATCGAGTTGTATAATGCGAATCACCAAAAATCACGTATTACATCAATACAAGTACACGCTGGTATTTACAATTATTCTTTAGCCCAACTTCTTTAACTATCTCATCCATGGACCATCCATACAATTGACGGTATGACACTATTTCAAGCGGAAGGTCGTATTGTTGCTGGTTCCTCTTGACTGTCTAGTGAGCAAGTCAGAGTGAGAATGATGGAAAGATATGGGGTTCTAGCAAAGTAAAGTAAACAATAGTTCACCTCTAACGAATCATCTCGATAACCAGTTATTCCCTCATCAACAGATAACAAGAACAGATTCAATCCATAGTTGTATCTATTATTCAATAGCTTTATTACGTATGCTAACACAGTCGAATCTGAATAGCAAAGCTCAATTAATGCTAGGTCAAGCCACTCAAACGAAAAGTATGATTTCCCCTCCCATACACGCAATTCACACCTTTTCCGCCCGACGCAGCAATAGCGATTCTATCCCCAGGTTTGAACAATTTATTGTCTACAATGGTATGATGAATTTCGGTCTCAAACACATAATAGAAACATTCTTTGCATATTTGTTGAGAAGTTTTAGGCCGCTTCAAGATGGCTTTATTTTTATTGCAAAGAACGCAAATCTTCATTTTTAAATATTTCGAACGTTAACGGCATGGCAAATTTCCCCTTTTTATAATTTTTGCACGTGTTATGTATCACGTGTGGCTAATCCGTGAGCATGTCAATATTGTTGATGAGTATTATTATGGACAATAAAGCAGTTCGAGCAGCTATCGTCATTATGTAGATATGCGCTATGTATCTATTCCCGCTCTTTAACTATTAAACATTAGAATGTACCTTCGCGCAGTTGTCACAAGCAGCTTTTTCTTATTCCCGAAATATGTGTACTTTATTCACTTAAAACCAAAAAAGAAGGTCAGCTATCATAACATAAAGGGCATTATCATTATTATAAACGAAAACTATAAGTAATCTTAGGATCGATATCGAAAATTAATTCAACTGTTATTCCGAGGTTTGGGTATTCGAAATAGAGAAAAAAGAATGTAAGCGTTTGTATTTCAAATCGAAAATTAATTCAACTGTTATTCCGAGGCTTGGCTATTCGAAAAGTTGAGAAATAGAGAAAAAAGGAAAGAAAATAAAAAAAAATTTTACGTAAACGTTTGTACAAAGTTTTCAAGGACCAATCTGTCGACTTTACACTAAAATATGCAATCAATATACTTTCGTCGGCTTTGGTCTTGGCAATATATCGTTCACCCGTTTAATTGTTTGGCATCGGATCGTAGTATATGCCATCTGATGAAAGATCTTCTGCACTAGTTTCGATGCAACTTGTCGAGACATTTGTTCTTCCGTCAACAGAGATCGGTGGTGCAGATGGTGCGCTACAGTTGTACAACTCTTCAAACTTGGCGCAATTCATTCCATTTACGTTATTTGCTACGGTTGCAGGCATGTATCCGTGAAAAGAGTTAGTGTCGACGTACAAGGCTCCAGCAGGTGATACGGCTGGATATGGTTTCGGAAACGTATAGAAAATGTATTGTGGTTGTTCTTGTGGTAGTGATGGTTGATAGACAGTCGTCGAGGGAGACGGAGACATGGCCGTATACATGTTTGGAGAAGGAGTAAAAGGCGACAACATTGGAGTTTGAGGCGAAAATAACGTGGGTGAACACGATGGTACAATTGGTGTTGTTGTCGTCGTCGTTGTTGTTGTTGTGGTGGTTATAGGGTTATCGATTCTTGGAGAAAAGGACGTAGCCGGGGTAAATGAAAGATGTGACGAGTGTGTCGGTATAGTAGGAGAAGGGTTTGTATGCGGATGTAATGATGCCGAGTGTGGGTCAGTGTTGTTGACATGCCGATTGTTCCGCGCGTTTACAGAGCATTTAGGTTTGCTAGGATGTGGGTCGGGCTTTGGATTATGTGACGCAGCAAACATGGTATCTGCTATAGCAGCCAGTCTGGGATCGACTTGTTTGTTGTTGTTACGTGATTTACGTTTTATTGACGAGGAATCTTTGCCGTTATTTGGTACATTGGTATCGCCGTCGTTCACAATCCTAGTTTCTGCCGCCGTTTCATGATAAGCTTGCTTTTTTTTGCTCTTTATCTTACGAGGCTTGGATTTCTTTGGTTGATACACGTAGTTGGGGTATTCTTTCATGTGTCGAAGCTTTTCGCGGTCGGCTATTTTCTCCCACTTGAATCTGACGTCTTCGGATTCCTTCCACCACAGAATAGATACTATTTTCGAGACTTGAGCGTTTGTTAGATCTTTGTAATTAGCCATAACGTCTTTTTGCTTAAACTTCCTGTAGAGGATAAATGCGTTGGGTGGACGTGGAATACGCATTAGTTTGGTATATCGGTGGCGCTTGCGACATCTTCTCTTGTGAACGGCTGCGGTTTGGTCGGTATCGGAGAGAGAATTGTGGGTTGTTGTTTGCGGAGTATCGAACATGATTAGGCTGCAATAATGTTTTTGGTCCATGTTGAAGTGGATAAGATGGATCTGGGGAGCAAAGCGGGGTTTATATGTTGGAAGATTGATGTATTAAATAAGTACTTAATACATCAATGTGAACAATCGATTTAATTAACAATACATAAGCACTTGTATATTACAATAAAGCATTGCGCGTATTATATTTATTGATTCAACTTTAAAGCGTCGACTTATTATACATGTATACGCATAATTTTGATAAACATCTATTCTATGACAAATTATACTTTACTCGATACATTACTTAACTTCCTTTCAACGTATATTTTAGACACAATTCAGGAGGCTTTCTTTAACAAGTACTAAATTACAATAATTCGGGTACCAATGAACGGTTGAGCGACAAACAAAGAATAATCGCAACTAACAGCTTAAATAAAGGCAAAAATGAAAACAATGAACGTTGGGAAGAAGATTTATGCGTACAACAAATACATGTACGGTATAAGCAAATTCACTTATTTCTGCATTAACTTTATTTTTGATCTACCGGCTGCTTTATTAGTAATACCAAGATTTTCTCACGAGGCGCGGACAGAAATGATGCTGACAAGCGTTCGGTTCTATGACGGGTGGGAAAACAGGTTGGGTTTATGGAATAACTTGTATAAGGTGATCGACTGTGTGCTGCTGCTACCTACCCTCTTGGGCTCAAGTGCTAGTTACATCCAAATGTAGCAATTAATATCTAGAATTAAGGGAAAAGACTTGTTGCCGAATATCTTTGTTGTTATTTATAGTAGTCATGGTTTATTTGAGACGTTACGCAGTTTTTGATCAACCACATGTTATTGTTTATAAGAGATGCAGAAACATGCACCCCTGCAAATCTGACCGATACTCTTATATTTGCCAACTCGCTCGATTGTTAATCATAATAACCATGACTGCAACCGCAACCGCAAACCGCAAGTGTATCGATCATTCATGTTCTATATGCTCAAGTAAGGCATGATAAATAACAAAATTAATAGCAATGATGTAGATGGAAAGACGTTGTCTAGATGTTGAATGTACAAACATCCATTGAATGCCCGAATATCACAAAAAACTTAATTTATCGGGTCACGAACTTTCCCGCTGTGTTGCACACTAACATAAATAACTCAAAACGGTATTTACACATTCAGCAGTTCCCACACACATGTACAACATAAATTTGCAGATAATAAATTTTAGTAATGCGTGTTACCCGGGAAAAAAAAATATTCCACATAAATTGACGAATTAGTCTTTCAGAACAAGGGACTAGAATATCCCCGAGAATAATAGAATATAAATATTACACTTGTATCTGCTACGATTATTGTTGTCCGCATCCATGATCTCTTACATAGAAGACAGACCATTTTTTCCTAATACACATTTTGGACGTGCAGATATGTGAGAATACGAATGTAGAGCGTGCAGACATGCAGTGAATAGAAAATGCATACGTTATTTCAGCATTCTCCAATGTCATAGATCATAAGTTCAGGAGTGTATGGCAGATATCAAATGATGATCTAACTCGTTTTATTCATAAATAATCCTATTTGGCTATTGTGGTTGGTACTTGTCGGTGCTGAGGAAGCGAGCTTTCATAATTACAGTCCTATAATAGTTTTTTTGTTTGGTATTTAATACTAATTTGTAATTGATTGATATACATTGACTGCGCAGTAAAAAGAGCGAGAAGGAGTCGTCAAACACGCAGTAATCAACTCTTTATCGCATAAGCGACTATAATATGTTTTTGTCTTTACTTCAGACGATGTCATAGATATCTTATCCATCCCCACTTGTCATACCTGTTATTATTCGCGGGAACAATATTTAATATGCCCTCTGGTGGGAGCATTACGGTAAATGTTAAATTGATGGCACGAGGTAACAATGAATAATATACAGTGTAAGAGGACAAAAAAAACATGCATGTAAGAATATTTCACGGAATATTGGTCAAGTTAATTTGTAAATGCTCTTGGCAAGTGCAATCTATTTTTATCGATTACGCTGTATGTCCGCAACGTTTTAGTTGACATATCAAACAAACTTTAACTCTCAAGAACCATTCAAACATACATTAATCTTTCCCCCATCTACTCTTTCAATTGTTGCCGAATATTACTTCACACGCCCACTACTCACGTCGCATAGATAAGGACCACTTTGTGTGTTATGTATATTTCGAATATATACAGTACTTTATAATAATTATAACAATATAACCATATGAAGATTGTGCGGCGGTGGAAGGCTTACATGGAACAGGAACGAGAACAAAAGATCATGCATGTAAACAGAAGACAGAAGACCAGGTCGGTCTCGTCATACAGAGTGTATCAATCGATTTGATTGTATGAATTGTGAGTTGTTTAATAAGTAGTAGGGGCTGTGTCGAGACATCAATGCCGATAGTTAATTATTGTTATTATATTGGATATTGTATTTATGTTATTATATTGTACAATTACAATCATGTAATGCCATATGACAATAATCTCTCGATTGATAAATGGTTATCATGTTCTTTGCGCGTTTGACATTACATGACATTAATATGACTAAGCGAGTGACAAAAAACGCTAACACCTCTACCGACAGGAATATTAATGTTGTCAGAGATGAGACTCATAGGCAGAATGCTGTGACGTGTTAATGAAGTTATAATTGTCCGATAATAACACGTGCAGTATTATATACAGTCTGGATTATGGTAAAAATGCATATGTCAGTAGGAATAAGATTCACAGATTGTTCGATCAGATCCAATAAGCGCGAGAAATTTCTTGTTACACTTTGCATTAATGTTGTTAATTTAAATATGTTATAAGCATGATTATTTAGTAACTCTGTGAGGGCTTATGTACCTTGGTAATATTTATTTTAAGACTTTTTTGGAGTGTCGGGCTTATCCGATTTCGGATGAAAAAAAGAGGCCGTTTTTCCCACGTCAAGATTAGCTGTATATTGAAAACCTGTTTGTAAACTTGGCTCCAAGAAGTTGAAACTCGATTGCAGATAAAAGTTTGTATTCTGTTGAAGTGTTCTCGAATAGAAGGGTTGCAAATTACATGGAAATTATTGAGGCACATGTATTTGTTTAGATTACAAGATGCGAAGATGTGATTACATACTAACATTCCATTCTTTTGTATGCATACTGTGTGTTTTGGTTTACGACATGATGGATGTGGTTCGGTTAATTCGGTTGTTAGCTGGTTTATCTTTTCGGTAAACATTAACAAAGAGATTGTGTTGTTCGAACTTGGTCTGCATGTGACATGATCATGAGTCACTCATTATTCCAGCCAATGGCAAACTAGAACTCGCCCTGGGAAAACTTTGTGAGATCAACTGGAACGCGTATTTCTCGAAATCATATTTATCTTTTAAGTTTCGATCGATACATGTTATTCATCATTCTATCCTTCCGAAACGTATAATCTACCATATAATTACTTTAATAGCTTAACTATGGAGGCAATGATGGCAGAGTTCAATGGAAAGTTACATGACCTCAAGACATCGATGCTCCTACGTGTAGACGGTAATTATCCTACTGTTCATATCCCCTCTATCTGTAAGCCACACTCACTGTTCAACCTCCCATGAAAGAATCCAACGAAGAAATGGACACAATACTTCTGGATATGCACAATACACTCGACGAGCTTGAAAAACATGTATCATACATGTCATCGTTTCTGTCAGAGGAAAAGGTATCCATTGACCTTGCTCAGGTATGTGTTGAACCTGCATTGTTATTAGATATACAATCGTGTCAAGCGCCAGATTGACGTCGTGTATATTATTATGTAGGACATTAAATATAGATTGAAAGCACAACACAGATACCTTGAGCATTTACAAAGCAATCTACCTAAACATCTGCCCGGGACTGCGGATGCGGCTATCAGACAAGCTCTACCGAATAAACAGTTCTCGGAAACACAATCGCAATCACAATCACAATCACAATCACAGAAGCAGAAACCAGGGTAATTATCGAGTCCTTTGCCTTGCCTTGATGAATTCACACAACCGATACAGATTCACTAACAGATGTTTCTAGTGTCAAGACCAAGAGACTACAGAAATCTGCTACCAAGACTATGAAAAAAACACGAGACAATGATGACTCGGACCGATTACCCAAAGTATCGTATGTGACAATCTCGGAATTCGATAACGTCCCAAAGTAATATTATTTCTGGGTTGAGTATCACTATCCATATTTTGTATTCTAACTCGTAATATTTCGCATCGCAAGATACATTGTGAAAAGGTTAACACGTGAAAAAATAAATGAAGCCATAGACGATATCAATAAAGTCTTTGGTGAAAAGTACCGAATACTCAGAATGAATCCGAGTTCCATGTCTCAGAATATGAAAGCTCGATATTGGGTAACTATTTGCAGTATTTTTGAATAACCGAGTATTTGCCATCATACTCATCTGCGATTATGTGTTTGACTTATCCAGGAATACAAAGAATCATACATTGACGAAATCAAGGGTATTCACATCATCTATATTTATCGCCGTTTTCTGATTCTTACATCTGCATCACACGTACTCGTCCATTAACTTTTCCAATAACCCTGGCGCGCCGCGCTCCCCCACTTTTTATACAGAACGACCGTATATAACAGAAAAAGATCTGAAGTCGTCAAACGTTCGAATAAAATTCAAACCAGATATTACCGGCAAAACCGTCTTGGCACTGTTAAGACACATTGGAAGAATAAAGGAGATAAGAGGCGGTGGATATACGCGATATGTGCTGACTGGATGATCAAGGCGGAGAAATCGAACGAAATAGAGCGGGTATGGAGTATACAAAGCCAAAGGTAGTGGGTGTAGACGACGGTCAGGATTTGTGAGATTTATTTAGATTGAGCAGTGTTAATGTTGTGTTTAATAAATCGATGAGAGTTATGACGATAAGAAGTATGAAGTATCGGTAGAGCAGCAAGTTGCAAAGATGACATCATGCGGAAATAACAGTACGTCATTAGACAAAACAACTACACTATCCTATTAATATTTTGATATGGCAGCACAACATATATAAATAAGGCCGTTGAACCTACTGTTACCTCTAGCAACATTAATTGAATGCAATATGTGAATCGATCAATTGAGCAAAAGTAACTACATTGAGCGATGTAAAAACGAGTCTCCTGGAAAACAGTCTCCGCTTATATTAAATAACCCCCGGTAGCAAGTACATTAACTGCTAATAACATACAATGTAAATTTTATTCACATTATTATAATTTTGATACAAATTAGCAAATAACATAATATGTCGTGTTGGTGGTTCGTAACCAGTGAATTCGTTAATTAATGCGCTTCTTTGTCCTTTACAATAACGACTGTGCAGTCACAGTGATGACTACAATAGTCACTAACCGAGCCAAGAATAGTTCTACACGAGCGCATATAAAAGAGAATTAATGAACAAGTAGCAAACTAATGTGAATTACATGAATTCGGATGCCTTACCGTTTGAATACACCAAGACCCCGAGAGCCAATAACAAGTGCTTCTGCATTGAGTTCGTCTACTTTACGAACAAGTTCATCTCGTGCATCACCCCGCATAGCTATTGCTTTACATTCAAACTGATAGCAAACAATGAATTAGTTGTAATATCTACAGACCAAAAAAATGTCACCGTAACATTAGATGAAAAAAAAAATACTCACACCCTGAGTCTTTAACTTGCCAGCAAAGTCTTTCAACAGTGAATGACTGTTTGATCGATACTATTTATTAAACAAAATAATTTGACTGTCAGCCAATAGCTCTCGCCACATCCAACGACCCATTTAAATATTTACCTGATCTTCGAGACTACTAACTACTTCGCTAAAGTCCATGTAAGCTGCGCCAATAGCTATATATACAACGTAAAAATGCAAGTTGATAAATAATTTATGTCTAGAAACCATATAGAATGCAGTAAATTTTTACCGGCTGGCTCACCATATGGTCCCGGAACAGTCGGGACTGGACGTACGTTTACGAGAACGACCTTGAGAAACGAGGGAGATGATTAAGATAACGCCTTTCAATACGGACTAAACATGAGTGCAAGCATACAACGTATCAACATGCACAACTTATCAACATGTACAACTTTGTCTCTACCTTATCACATTCTTTCCTAAGAAAGTTCTTTACTGCCCAATTGAATGCATGGTGTGAATGTTCTGAATGATCGAGAGCAATGACAATTGTACGACTATTAGGGTCGTTCGTATTTTCACGAACGGTGTTTATGAGTTCTGTATCTTGGTACACGGTTTGAGTTTGAGTTGCTGTTGTTTCAGTTGCTGTTGTTTCCGACATTATTTTGATTTTATATAGCAAAAATTGAAAGTTGTCTAGTTGCTTGACAGTTTGACTTTGACTTTCTGCGTTTTATTTATACAGTTTCCCAAGCGATGTCATATCATATGTTTGACAGTGTTTGTGTAGCATACTCAACCTTAAAATCATACCACAGTAAAATTGTACATCACGCCATACGGAAATGATGTCACCGTACATGCATTAAACGATTTATTATTGGACAACCGCATCTTGCGTGATATATAATTCCGATAGCGATTCATTTCCCACGATCGTAAGATTCTTTTCGTTTGCCAAATGGAGAAGGCAAATGAAACAGAAAGACACAGAAATATCTTGCACTTTGCGTTCGGAATATTTTGTCTTCACATCCTGAATTACTGACGTAAAATTCGTCTCACCCTGCACTGAATCATTCGTCTAAAAAAGGCAAAGTACAATACGTCAGAAGTAGTATTAACATAGAAGAGTTGATATTACTCATGTTTCGGATAAACAAGATGGCTTTAATAGAGCCGAAGGAACCCTGAGAGCACGGACAGGGGAGGGCGCGCGAGATCCGTAGTAACGCTCGAGGCCATCCATCCAAGTCACTTGATAAGACTGCCATTTCCCTACAACAACCATCTCACTACAACAACCATCTCATCACTGACCTTGTGTTCGTTGTTGTCTTCATTAACCAACGTCTTCCAAATATTTTCCTTTAACTTTTTAACGTCAACTCTCTTCGCCGTTTTTGCATAATTTACAAACTCGGGCCGCACTCTTGATGCCTGTTCTCCGATATAATCATCAAAGTCAAACCAATCACCGTCATCATTGTCGGCATCAAGGGCATTCGTGGCATTTGTTCCCCTAAAGAATCCAGCATCGCTAAACTGATCGTCTGCGTGTGTGGCCCAGAACTCGGCCGAGACGTCTGGAGCTGAATCGTCTCCGAACTCTGGAATTTGATCTTTTAACGAGTATGATATTTAGAATAAATGTTAAGTTAGAATGGCCGATATGGGACTATATGAATTAACGTTATAGCTTACCGCTCGGTCTATCTTCTTCAACGTCACGTCTTATGCCCAACTATCAATATCAAGTGTCAATTTATAATCCGTGCTTCACAAAAATAGCAACATTTCGATCGATCATATATATCCTATTACCTTACAACGTGGCTTGATAAACAATTGCAACAACTGCTTCGAGTTAAAATGTATGTCATCCGGTAATAAATACTTATGCCCATTCTTCTCCACGGCTTTGGGTAGACTAATCGATGTGGTAGCCGGAACGAATAGTCTATTCCCATCTGTAGTATCACTATGGAAATCCACGAAAAAGGGTTCCTTCGTTGGGCGTCTTCTTGGCTGTTCTTCTTGCTCATTTTCGCCGTCCGCGTCATTAGAATTGCCATTAACACCTTCCCCATTACCACTACCAACACGCCCTCTTGCACCTGATCGGATTCTCCAATGCTCGGGCCCAGCCCAGTTTCGCAAAAATGCCGAATCAAAATACGAAAACATGTTGTCGTCGACGGCCATTCCCATTATGATATCTCTTTCAGTAAATACTGGTCGATTTCGGTTATTAGGTGTTGGCGAGGAAGGAGGAAATGCGTCCGAGTCTGTGACAAGAAAGGGATTTTCGAGACCATCGTTAAATGCATCGTCGAGTATGTCGGCGTCTGTAGTCATCATTGCGTCGATATCATCGGTGGTGTTGAACATGTTGAATTGTGGGGCCGAGGGCGAAGCAAGGAAATGGGTCGGAAGATTGGAAGCGTCAAACGTGGAGGAGGGGTGGAAGTTGAAGGATTTCAGTGATGGACATATATCCTTGGCTGAGATGGTCCGCAGGTTGTCACGAAACTGTACTAAAGTAGGGAACAGCATAAAAAGAGCATTAAGATTTGTATCAATAATCTTTAAGAAACTACCATTTTGTTTCCATATATGTATATATAAAACTCACACACAAGTTTCGTCATATCCATCTCGATACCCGCACTCTCACTGCCATCATCAACAACTGCTTCACTAGTATCAAACACAATCTTTCCCTCGGCATCAACTGCCAACTGATTTAATAACAGTCCGCGAGCGCCTCCTTCATCGAAATCTGCTGCCATCTTTTTCCATAGGGGATCAACTTGATATTCGAGATCCCAGTCTTTGACGCAGATGGCAGATGGATCTTTTGCTAGTGTCTGTTCTGTACGAGGCTTTCAATCGGAATGAATAATGTGATTAGAGATTAGATATATAGCAGTGTCAAAGGAATGGAGATCATACCTTTTTGCGTCTTTGTTTCGTTTGGGAATCTTGATCTTCCTCGGCTTCCTCTGCCTGGTTAGAGTCTTCATCATCTCGAAATCTATTTTCTTTGATTGATGGTATAAACGTCTGGTCATAAATACATTACATAATGTCACATGACATTATTTGAATATTTTATCGTCTCTAATTTATTCCCATTTATATCTTACACCTACGACATGCCCTCTCCTTATTACTTTCCACTTTCCTCTTCCCAGAACTCACTTGTACTGTCAGCAAGTCCACTAAGCAGTCTTTCGGTCTCGGTTGCGACCGAATCTACACGCGAAGTATATATCTTTACACATCCATCTAGTGTACATGAAGCCTTTTGAAAGTTGATCGAATCTCCGTCTTTTAGAAAAGCCATCTCGTGAAAGTAATCTATTAAAGCAAGTTTCCAGCTGTTTGAACGGTTGATTTTCTGTTATCAATGTTAGAATCCAAGGGGGAAAGTTGCAATTAGTGATAGCCTGTGCTTGATAGTATTACGTTGGAAGGTTCCAAATGTACAATTGTTCAACCATTATTTAAATAATACTATCAATGTGTGTAGTAATGCGTGTTCTTGATACAGTCGCTGATCGTTAAAACAAACTTACATTATCAGTAGCCATCTTTATCCATTCCTCGAAATTGTTGTGCATCTGTTCAAGCGGAAGTCTGGGTTGAGGTGTAACAACTTCAATATTTCTCGTGACAGTCTTCCTGGGCGTTGAAAGAGGCGATGCAATAGACAGTCTTGCATTACTGTTTTCTTTACTTGGACCTCTACTGGGAAAAACAGGGGTCTCGGTTAATGACTTTCGATGACTGTCGATAAAAGACCGCCGACGTGCTATATTCTCGAGTTCGGCGTCATTTGGAAGTATGTTTAGCTCTCGTGAGCGTAATGGTGAGCCAGCTGAGTGACGTCGTGGTGAACCGAAAGAACGTCTTTGGGGTGGTGTATGAAAGCTTGAAGGAGAGAAAGACATCTGTGGAATTATGTGATATTAAGGAACTCGTAATGGTGAAGTACGCGTTTAAAATTTGAGATCACATGTTCTTGATCTTTCATCATTGGCAGACAGTCAAACCTACCGATACGAGTGGCACGCGTCGTTTCTATCAGTATAACCAGTTTATCGGTATAGCCGAAGAAATCTTATACAGTCGCACCTCGATATAGTCACTCTCGATATAGTCACATTTGCGATATAGTCACATTTTGAAATTTACCGACTCATTTTATATGAAATTTAGTCACATTTAGGTAATAGTCACTATCACACCATTTCAATTACCAATATATATCACCATTATATGATCTGCCCTTGAATTAGTCACAAAATCACATGACTATCTGATGATCTACCAGTAATAAAACTCATTTATCTTGTGTTCTTTGCAATGCCACGTTCAACTAAAAAACCACGCTGTCATGTCAATAATGCTCAGCGAAAAGAAATTTGTGAATATTCTCAAAAATATCCCTTAGCCAAACACCAAGAAATTTCCAAAGAGTTTACGAGACAATATTTGTTGTGAGTAAAACAGCTGAAGACGAAAGCGACGAGGACGAAGCGCCTCCTCCACTTGTAACAGTTAAGGAAGTACATAGCGCAATGCAAACGGTTCTTCGTTTTGAAGAGCAGGCTAACTCAGAATCGAATATTAGATCTGAATAATTACATTTCTTAAGGAAATTTCAACGAGAATATGAAAAACAAACATCAAATTAGGGAGTTTTTTAATAATGAAAATTAAGAAACAATAAATATGCAATTATGGTCCATATCTACTGTGGGTGAATTAACTGAGACTTGATTATTGATGTAATAATACATATAATATTACCTTTGTACAGTCACATAATTTAGTAACAGGCCTATTGAGTGACTATATAAAGGAAAATCGATATAGTCATACCTTGTTACAGTCACCAAATTTTCATATCCCGACGCTGTGACTATATCGAGGTGCGACTGTATCATAATTAGTAAACGGTTCCAAAGGCTGTATAAAAAATATCGGTATAAAGAGGTTTGACTGTATTATATCTGGAATTAACGTCTTATAGCCCATAGACGGGCCATGAATTTGGAGATAACATCAACATAAAATTTATTAGATACAACTCATTGATAAACATTGACTTGCTTTCAGTATTGCCGTATTTGTTATTTTTTATGAAGCATTCGATAGACTTTCCCCCTTCTTCTCAACGCAAATGCGTCGTTTGGTTCAATCTCCAACGATTTATTGAGATCAGCCAATGCATCGTCATATTGTTTAAGCTTGCGATAGACATTTCCCCTTACTTTCAGTGCAAGTGCGTCGTTTGGTTCAATCTCCAACGATTTATTGAGATCAACCAATGCATTGTCATACTGATCAAGCATGCGATAGACATTTCCCCTTACTTTCAATGCAAGTGCGTCGTTTGGTTCAATCTCCAACGATTTATTGAGATCAACCAATGCATTGTCATATTGTTTAAGCAGGCGATAGACGTCTCCCCTTACTTCCAATGCAAATGCGTCATTTGGTTCAATCTCCAACGATTTATTGAGATCAACCAATGCATTGTCATATTGATTAAGCATGCGATAGACTTCTCCCCTTCTACTTAATGCAAATGCGTCATTTGGTTCAATCTCCAGCGATTTATTGAGATCAACCAATGCATTGTCATATTGG